CAGTAACTTAACTTATAACACCTAGCAAAGAGCTTAACAATTCTACTTAGATATTTACTATAAAACGCGCACCCCAAGACCTCAATAGTATATGTGAAGACTAAAAGGATCAAACTTTGAAAAAGTAAGTCCAAATTCTCAATAAAGTACCCATAATATTTACATATTCTTATAATATACAACCTACTGCTAGTCTTACTAAGTAAATAATCAATATGGCACTTACTCAAATGTAACGTCCAAAAGATTCAGTTTCTCTTTCCTCCCTTTGATCTCTAGTGGTCCAGGAGGCGTCCTGGTAGTCCTTCCTCGTAAAAGCAGTTCCCATGTTTAACTTTCATGCAGTTGTTCTCAGACCATTCAATAAAGGATAGGACTTTCAGTAAATATGGCACTTTTTTTTATTATATATTCAGAAGAAAAATGCTTGTAAAGTGACATCACAATTTAGGAGTAAGAATCTTTGTACTAACATAAACATTTTTTGTAATAAACATAGAAATGTAAGTGGCAGAAAGTCGTGGGAGTAGGTTGACCTGGGGGGGGGGGGGGGGGGGGGGGGGACACAAAGGGAAGGTGGGGGTGAGGGGGGCGGCCGCGGCCTTTAAACAACAACCCAAAAAAAAAGAGCAATTTTGTCTGCCCGTTTGAAGACAGAGAACAGACATTGTAGGTTGAGTAGTGGGTTTGTGTGGTGTGGGTTAGGGTGTTATTAATATTAAGAGAAAAAAAAATTAATTAAATAAAAATAATTTTTTAAAAAAAGAAAAAAGAGAGGGGGGGGGGGGGGGGGGGGGGGGGGGGGGGGGGGGGGGGGGGGGGGGGGGTGGGGTGGGGGTCACTCAAGGGAAGTTTGGGGTGAGGTGTGCCGCCTAGGCCTTCAAACCCAGACCCAAACAAAAATTGCTCATTTCGCTGCCCTGTTTAAGACAGGAGACACTACTTTCTGACTCTGATTTTCTTTGTTTTGCATACAGAATTAAGAGATTTTTCGCACTAAAATAGAAATTATAGGAAAAAAATTATTGGTATTGCAAATGTAGACCGCTCATCATAAGTCTTCACACTCTTTGAAAGGCTTCCAATCCAAAAAGACACCCTGTTCAAGACCCTTAATTATAACTAGGAGTAATCGGAGCTTAGGAGAGTGCATTCGATATGTTTGTTAGTAGCCTGAGTAGCAGGCGCTTGGAAGCAGTGGGCGAAAGAGAGAACGGGCGCGCGCGAGGGAGACACGCGAGGGGTGAGGGTGTCTCCTTCTCGCGTGCCCGTTTTTTCTTGTGCCCACTTCTTCCAAGCGCCTGCTACGCAGGTTAGTTTGTTAGGCGCATAGATAGCAGTTGGGGCGGAAGGGTGGTTGCGATATAGATAAATATGATTATGGCATATTTTGAACGTAAGGGTTGCGTACAGCGAAACCTTTAAAGTGTGTATCATTATAAGAACGTTTTCAACAGATATCGTATGGTTCGGTGTCGAGTGCTTGTAATCAGAAGAGACATTGGCCAGAGTGCGTCGGGTGAGTTGCAGGGCGCAGCTGCTCAAAGGCCGATTAGTGCTTAACCCGGGATTCTTTTTCTTTCTTTAAAAACATTTCTTCGGATAATTTTCTCTGTTATTTTTAAGAGCATCCAATCATCAACTTGTTGAGAAAATGAATTACATTGAATTTACTGTTTTCAAAGCTTTCACATCTGAATTCAAACTTCGCGCCTATCAAAGCCTTCAATGGAACGTGTGTGCGGCTCACGTCAATAACTTTTCCAGTAATTTGGTCGAATGTGTTGATCTCAGTGACTCGAGAGTGGCGCTACTGTGGGCTGGTTTTTCCTAAGTGTTCGTTTGTCCGGTGCCGAAAATATCACAAGTCATGATCAAATGGCGCCGCCGAACTTCACATCTCGGTAGATTTACTTTGTGGCACAACGGCTGCCGAGCTACACAACTCGGTAGATTTACGTTGTGACACAACGGCCGCCGAGCTACATAACTCGGTCAATTTACTTTGTGGCACAACGGCCGCCGAACTAAACCCGGTTTGATGCATGCACCAGGAGTCGCAGACATTTTCCAAAGACAGTGACGAACCATGCTGAAAAATATGAAGGCTTAATCCAAAGTAAAATTTAACAGCAAACTTCTGAGAGATGAACGCTTTGGACGATTCAGCAAACACAGATCGATGTACGCTTTACGAAGAATTAGCAAACTTTTTAAAAGATGACCGCTTTGCGAAGCTTTGACGGAATGTCAGACCTCAGCAAACCTTTGAAAGATGAACGTCGAGGACACAAGAATTACCACATGAGTTAGCGCGTCAAAGTGAGGCAAAACGTAAGCAAGTGCCTCAAAGCGAGGCAAATGTGTGTCGACGACGACGACGAAAAAACCTCCCTTATTAATTGCACAGGACACCCAATAATGCACAGAACACCCAACGCAAATTAGGGGTTTTGGCCTTTACGTCATTTGCCCGCAACTCATCTCATCGATCCTGTGTACGATGATTGTTCGATGAAGAAACAGCCTATCAGCACTGCTGTTGTTTTAGAATTTCGTGAATTATTAAAATCAATTACAAAATGGTATTGAAACCTTAGCGAGTTATATGAATGTAAGCATATTTGTCATCGTGATCGGTTCATTTTTTATGTTACGCTCTGAGTGTTTCATAATGCCAGCAAGTCTAAGTTATTGACTTTAATAAAAAAGAATTCATATGTTCAACTGTTCTACAAACTGTCTTTGTCCTATTCGCTTCGCAACTAACGGCAGCACTTCCCTTCTCAATGAGAACTTCTGGTTAACAGAGTTATTTGAGATCATCCTGATTTTATGGTTGAATCTGTTGGTACCCGTTTTTGCGACACTGTGTTGCTCTTCCTCGGCTGAATATAAAAATTACAAATCAAACCGCAGCAATACATAAGGATAAACATATTGTCATAATGATGTTCAAGTAATGTCATGTTTTCAGTGATTATTTTTGGGTGGAATGCATACTGATTGTAATGCTTCCTCACACTGACAAAAAGCAACGACGAAAGCCTTGATTTAACTTGCTACTACAATCTTTGCTGAGCATGAAAGGGTTTGAACCAAAACGGAACTGTTACTGTAGCTATTACTTTATTACCCACACCCTACCTACAAAAGCTCATTTTCACTTTCTAATAGACCTCTTTCATACTTTATTGCTCTTTATATTCTTTTATATGTATTATAATTTAGCCTTTCTGACCTTGTTAGCATGTGCAAAATACAAAAGAATTCTTACCTTCAACGACTCAGGCCAGAAGGGCTCATTCATATGCATATCAAAGAATAAATAAATGGACAACAATAATGAAAGGTTTTTGATGATCCTTGTTGTTTATGATGTCCCAGTGCGCTAAAAGAGCGCTTTCACTTCTTCCGATCAAATTCATTTGCATAGCTGCTGGCCATATGAGTGAAAAGGCTTTGTAACGATCGATAATCAGGCCCAAATTAATATTTTGCCGATGTTTTAGCGGCAGGAACTCGGAACTACTGTCCAATTAATTTCATTTGCTTCTTTTTGAGAATTGAACTGATTTTCGTCCTATTAACACCATGTTGCTAGCCACGATCTGTCTGTTTAACATGTTGAAACTCCTCCAACTTGACTACTTCAAACGCAGGAAAAAAATAGGTCGTAAGTCTCTGAAGAAAGTGGAAAGTGAGGGTATGAGACTAACAAACGCCGGCATCCACTGGAGGTGGAATGCCGGAAAATTCTGCTGCCAGACTTACATTCAGATCGCAATATATTTACTGGAAAAACAAAAACAACACGAACGGAAGTAATTCAAGCTGAGAAGGGTGAAAAGCGCATTTAAGATCGTTTAATGTTAATAAGCGAGGAAAAAATACCAATATTAGCTTCCAATAGCTCTGCGTCGCAGACAGTCTTTTCGACTGCAGCGCAGGCCAGCTTTCAAAAGAACGGAAATAAAAAATATATATACAAAGATAAAGTCAATGTTTACTAATAGACATAGCTGAAATGATCACCGAGGGACATGGAAATCATGCGTTATCATTTTTGTTACTGTCAACCAATGAGCGCCCAGAATCGTTTACAGTTTCAAATTACGAACCCTATACATGTATAATTTTTATTTCTATAGACGAATACTTAAAATAACAAAAATAAGGAAGGTGATTTTTAAGAGGTTTTAACGTCCCAATCTCATGTCTAAATGGTCATTACAAACTTGTTAAGTCGAGAACTTCAGACATGAAGTTTTCTTTAATGGTTAAAAATGTGCGAATGACGAGATAACGTTAACTTCTCATCAGATATCGGCTGTTAATCACTTATAACCCGGTAGCTGACTTATTTTTTTTTTGTACAAAAATAAGTAGAAGATAGTGACTGCAAAAGAAATATGTATTGAGTTTGTCGAATTCGCTTTTCTTTCATCGTTACTTTAATACTATATACATGTTATGTGGGGTAATTTGCTTCATAGTATTTATAACAGTGGGTGGTGTATATGGTGTAAGGTACTACTGATATTTATCTTTTAGTATTTTAATTTTTGCGTTCACTGAAAAAAGAATACATCGTGGTTGACTTCTCTTTGATCGGGAATCCCCGAATTAATCAAGAAATGTGAGTAACATCTACTTTGTGTCAAATTCTGAATTTTACTTTCGTTGTCGAAGAAAAAGGTTTTTGAAAGGCGTTACAATTTGTAAATTATTTGGTATTGCAAACTGTGTCCGCAGCACCTGCTTGCCACCTGAAACTCCCCGATGCGAATTATTGTTTGGATTTAAAAAAGCAAACTCTTACTTGAAACCCAACGGAAGCGAAAACAACTTGTTTGTGCCAATATACACAGGGTTTTAACTTAACAACAATTTCACTTTGAAACTGTGAAAGGTATATACACTCTCAGCTGATATTTGCACGCGCATGACACGATAAGAATGTTTACAATTGACGATGCTATCTTCTTCCTTCGAAGCGCGCAATTTTAACAGTGGTTTCCAGCTACGAAGACCTAAGAAGGGGAGAGATTGAATCTGATGCTGTAATCTCAGGTTAAACCGCTGTTCGTTAGCGATGCTCCTAATGTGGTTGTTTTGTTCTTTGGCTTGTTTCAAATATGGAGTGGAAGGTAGGTTTTAGAGTAGTTTCCTATTTGTATCGCTAGTACTACCCAAGTGCAATAAAATATACTGCAGTGCAATAAATTTGCATCTTTGTTTTCATCACGGCTTTATTAGCACCATCTTGAAATACATCCCTCCTTGACTTTGTCAGGACATTNGCTGTTCGTTAGCGATGCTCCTAATGTGGTTGTTTTGTTCTTTGGCTTGTTTCAAATATGGAGTGGAAGGTAGGTTTTAGAGTAGTTTCCTATTTGTATCGCTAGTACTACCCAAGTGCAATAAAATATACTGCAGTGCAATAAATTTGCATCTTTGTTTTCATCACGGCTTTATTAGCACCATCTTGAAATACATCCCTCCTTGACTTTGTCAGGACATTATCTACGAAAAACTCCTTTTTGAGTTGGAAAAAGGGCAGGGACAAAATTAATTTGATTCCGTGTACATTTGCGAGGTAATGTGCCAATTTCAAGAGATATTTGATTTTTCTAAAGAAAAATGGGTGGAATACTTGACGAAAACTCAGAAACGAATATTAATACCCTACAGGAAATTTTTAGGAAGGATTCGCTTTGGTATTTTTTAGAAGAAAGGGATTTCGTTTTCTGCTTTGAGACCAGTTAAGAAGGAGGCATAATATCGAGGGCTACAACACAGAATAACTGAAAACACCTCCTATAAACTATATAACCTAAACAATACGCTGATGAATCTAGAAAATGTACGACGCATAAAGAAAATAAAAAGTTTAGAACTGAAAAAAAATGTAGCAAGAAAATCGAGAACTTTAAAAATGAGTGCGGAAGGGTTTCAGCTGTTGACGCGAAATTTCTTTTTCGGCGGTGGAGATTTACGAAGCCAGATGATGAGGTCCTTAAAGGAAGATAAATTATGGATTGAACAAATGAGTGTGCCAAAATGTAAATGAGTGTGGCGACGCTTCGGCTCCACTCGGTATGACAGATAGTATTAAATTTAAATGGCGAGATCGCGCTGCATGCTTTTCACGGGAATCGATTAGAAGTCGTTTTTATTTTTGTACTTTTAGCGTATTTCCTTCGTTCGTCTGTTCTTTAAAAAAGAGATTAAAGCGACAATTTTCGGTAGTCAAAAAAGAATATTCCCTCGCATAATTACTTGGAGCAGATTTTCTTTGTTTTAATAAGGCGGAATTTATTTAAAATGAATGCGTTTATGAGACCAGCTGTCATCTCAAGGCAACTGCAAGTTACTGAACTAGACCCAGAATCTGAGATCAGCTTTTATTCACATTTCAGAGTACGTTTTCGATGAGGGCAGAAAATTCTTTTAAATCTTACCTTCTTCGTTTTACAGTAACATCACTGTCTAATGTCTATCTTTTTACTGTAGTCTCCTCTGGATATCTAATCTAAGTCAGGCGGCGGAGCTTCGTGGAGCCGGATATTGCTTTTCTTTAGAATGCCTCCAAAATGATAAACTAGTCAAATACTTGCAAACACTTTTATTTAATCAGATATTTTCCTAGTTAGGGTCCTGACGTTTCTCTGTGATAACAGCCCCAGATATGATACGTGCTCAGAAATGCTACATAATCAATTCACTGGTACATAGCCTGTTTTTAAAGTCCCGTTATCAGCAACTTATTTTAACTTCTGATCGGTTTTAAGGAAAAAATTGTTAAAAGAGACAACAGACCAAAACAAAAACATTGTTTGCAAATTCCAAAATTTTATCAAGCAGGCTATACAACTGTAAGTTTTAATACTCCTCCATCTCTCGAACTGCCACGGCTATATTTCGATTCATTTTCCTTTAATCATCTTTTAGAAATCAAGTTATTAAAGAGTTCAACTGGCAAACAAACCGATAGCTATTGTGGTTCGAGTAAGCAAACAGTTCGATCCGCATGGATAAGCTAAGATAGATAAAGGGTTATACAGGTTACTGCTTGGGTAACCTTTAAAACGCTTAATTAAGTTACGTACAGTTAAAGCAAAAATGTATTGGAATTTTCAACTTGTATTTAATAATCAGTACTTTTGAAAAAAACACTTGCTCGGTATCTAGTTGGTTTGGTTATCAGCGTTCTCTTCGTTTGATAGCGCAATTTTATATAGAATTGCATCAGAACAGGAAAAAACTTGGTGACTAAGTAAGCAAACAGGAAAGCAAAATAAAATAATGTTGTAACTACACCAACAATAGGGAGCGTATTGCGGCATAAGACTACTGGAAAGCTGATCATAACGTGTATTACGATGCTGAGCTTTGCAGTAGTCTTTGAACTTCTCGTTTTTTGTCAGATAGAAAAGCGAGTGAATTGGTCAAATGCGCTCTGTGTCCTCTCCTTGATTCTACCTTACGTTGTAGTTCCTCCATATCCTGGTCTCCTCACCTCACCAATGTCAGATAAAAAAGCGACTGAATTCGTTTAAGGAGAAACTACAAAGTCAGCAACAAAACTTGGCCGGTCCAAAGGCACATGGTTTAATGAAACGCGAAGGTTCGAGCCCCTGAAACTACATTAGACTCAAGTCCGTGACGCGACGAAAAAACGATATCGCGGTTCTAGTTACAATTCGTAAACTGAAGCTGTATCCAATAGTGTAAACAACGTATAAAAATGTCACTTGNAACTTGGCCGGTCCAAAGGCACATGGTTTAATGAAACGCGAAGGTTCGAGCCCCTGAAACTACATTAGACTCAAGTCCGTGACGCGACGAAAAAACGATATCGCGGTTCTAGTTACAATTCGTAAACTGAAGCTGTATCCAATAGTGTAAACAACGTATAAAAATGTCACTTGATCTAGCTTCAAGAATAAAGTACCAAATCTGACTTTCGACATTTTCCGGGCCCCGGGGCGACTAGTCTTTTGTTCACTCTGCAATTCGTTGTAATTCTCTTTCTGGAGCAGCTCGTTGGGTCCTCTTGGAATATGGGTTTACTGGGCAGTCAACCCTCGGAACTGCTGGGGTGAGATTCTCTTGAGACTGAGCTGATATTTCCAGAGGGTAGAGTTTGGCAATTGGCAGATTGGTTGTGCCTCCCTGGGTACGTATATTTACTGCATGTAATTGGCCATCTCTTCCGGGTAATAGCTCTTCTACTACTGCAAGTTTCCAGTTGATTCGTGGACCCTCATCATGTACTAATAAAACATCACCAACTTGACTGCTGGTTTATTGTTACCAGTGGTCTTGTAACATTCTCTTGGTGACGTCAGGTACTCCTGTCTCCAACGGGTCCAGAAGTGTTGTAGGAGGAGAGCAAGGCGTTTGAATTTCCTCTGGATTTCTGCGTTTCCATTCTGGTTGTATTCAGGATCAAGGATCTCATCTTGCTCTACTCCAATGTGGGGAAGGGCGGTTATTCTCTTCCATACAGGAGATGAACTGGGGTAAGTGGTTCTTAGTTTATCTCATCAGATACGACTGAGTCATTGGCCTGTCATTCAAAATGGCTTCAACCTCGACAATTATGGTCTATAGTGTGGTCAAATTAACAGATGCTTGTCCAAGTACTTTCTTCAGAGTAGTCCTTGTGAGGCCAATCAAACGCTCCCAGAACCCTCCATAACAGGTTGCTGCTCTATGGTATGAACGGCCAATTTAGGCCTTGTTTGCTGAGGGAATCTTTCAACGACTGTGATTTAAATAACTCTGTTAACTCTTCAGCTGCAGTCAGGTATGGGGAGGCATTATCAGAAATCATTTGCTGAGGAGCAGATTTCCGAGCTGCAAATGTGCGATATGCAAGGAGGAAGGTTTGCACTGATAAATTTGTGAACACTTCAAGATGGACTGCTCATGTTGTGGCATATGTGAAGAGACAAATGTAAACCTTCCTTTGAACTCCAGCTTCACAAATGTATAGTGTTCCAGTTTGTGAAGTCGACTCCTGTGACTGTAAATCGCTCTGCTTGTTGTATTCTTGATTTCGGAAGTGGGGGTGGATCTGGGATGTCATATAGTAATCCTGAAATCTTCTTACAGGTGACACAGTGGCTAATCGCTTTCTTGACATGCCGACGTCCGGCAGGAATCTAGTACCACAGGCGCAGGGCAGTCAGAGTTGAATTCACACCATAGCATACTGTGGTAGGTCACTTCCTGGCAGGTCTTGATCCATACATTTCTTGCATTATGCAATTCTGTTTTCCTGTATTCGTCTGCAATTTTTGAACAAATCGCAGGACTTAATGTGCGACACTGAGGAGCTTGGAAAGGGTGCTGAAGTTAGATACAGTAATAAGCTGCTGAAGACCTGGTCCTTGTGCATGGTTCGTGACAGCTGTCCCTGTTGGGGTGGTTGTCTCTTCAGTGGGAAGGACCTTGTTTCCACAACCTCTGGTAAGCAGGTCGGCGGGATTGTCTGAGGTGGGACAGTATTTCCAATTTGTCAGTGAGGTAAGTTCTTTAATTTCCCTTACAAGACTAGCGACAAAAAGCTCCTTGGTGCTACAAAGCCAATGTTAGACAATCTGGCTGTCAATTAACCAGAGATAAACTTTATTCAAATGAATCTCATCTTGGAGGTAAGAGGCAAGTCGAGTACCGATCACAGCTGCAGTTAACTCTAACTGCGGCAGGGTTAGTTCCTTTGTTGGTCCAATTCGCGATTTTGCCATCACGAAGGAGGAGTGGTTTTCTTGCGTGGAATCAAGATAGGCAAAAGTTCCATAGGCCTTGGTGCATTCATTAACGAAAACATGCAGTTCCACGTCATTTGGTGATGTACGGCCCACGGGAAGTACTACTGAGAAGTCGCTATGGACATGATCGTCTCAAATTCCGTGGCCAACTCTTTCAACTTCATTTGGAGGTCTGGGATCTGAGGATCGTCCCATGCTACATTCCCTTTTATTGATTAGATTTGGAATGGTCGAAGCTGTGAATCTCATGGGTGGGTAGTTGATCATGTCTGTTGTTGTGTTCCATAGTACACCTAGGACTTTAGTTTCAGGGCGGTCACAAAGGAGGTACTCCTTTGCTGCCAATGACTGTATCACTGGATTGTTCGAGGTCCATGATCTCAAGTTAAAATCCACGGGTGACATCAATGTTCTTGCTCGATTGTAATATGTTGCGGCTTCCTCCTCATGTTGGACCCCAGAGATGAGGTCTTCTACATAGATGTTCTTCCTCACGTCTTTTCCCACAGGATCATTGTACTGATTGAGATGCTTGTTGAGAGTTGCATTCAGTATGAATGGAGAGCTTGACGCAACGACCGTACGTACGTCGACCGTACGTCCGCCAATCATGCCAGCGGATGTGAAATGTCACACTTACTAGCTTACAAGGCATAAATGTATACAATCCGTTGTTAACTATACATTGGACATCTATTTTATGTTCAATTGACGACTGGATGTATCAAGGGCTCAGGCACGTACAACTCACTTAAATACCGTTTATAACATAGCGCGCGTGCTTGCCCTATAAAAGTCCTATTGAGCCGTTATGAACAAAATCTTTATTTACGCACGCCCGTGCGTAAATAAGATGACGTGAGCATTTTTTTTACCTGGCTGCAAAGTTGTCGTCTTTTAAGCTGCAGTGCACTTTTCCTTCTCTTTAAAATATGGAAGAAACCAGCGAAAAACTGCCCAATTTTTCTATCGGCATTGACCTTTTAGGTCCTGATCCAACAAGCAGCAAAAATAAAGCCGAATTAAAAAAAAAGAGCTCGCAAGTTGTGCGTTTCGCAAATTTGTCGAAGACCAGCTCAGCAGCAAATTTTGGCCGAAAGACATTCACTGGGAACAGAACAGACATCAACTGGTCATCAACAAGATTTAAAGGCAAAATTTCCGTTTTTATTGTTGTTTTTAAATTTGTTATGCACTTTGTTATCTCCGGACAATCGGACTGAAGCAGGAAAATTTTTCTCGCAATAACAACACAAATTACGCAAGAAGACATAAATTTATTACTCACAAAAACAACTGCTGCCAGGTCTTCTCAAGAAGCCGTAATGACCAGCCAATGTTCGTAAATGAATATAAGTTTAAACAAGGATGACAGTCGTCTTCGCTAAAAACATGTTTTCTGGATTTCGCCGCGCAAAACGTAAACATCTGTTTAGCAAATCCAAACCATACTCCACGACTTCTCACGAACATGTCACGGAGGATAGCTGAGGATTTTAACTTTAGGTGAACTTTAAGACTCTTTTACCTTTGTTTCTGCTTAGTTTCCATTGATCGTTAAGGAATAAAGAAGCAAATTTTCTTTCTCACTGTTACGGAAAGAATATTTCATTCAAACTAGACGATTGTGGCGTGTTCGTAATCAGCCAATACAACCGTTTGATATTGTGTCGCGCGATACGAGAATTTTGCAGTTAATCAAAAAGCAAGCATTTTTGTCAGCTATGTTATAAAAGATTTTGCTCATGCTTTTAGCTGTGCATATATAGAGTTATGGATGCACTTGGGAAGTTTGGAGAGCACTCAAGAAGCTAGAGTTGCAATCGGCTATCGCCTCGTGCAACTCTTACGCATCTTTAGTGCTCTCCAAACTTCCCGCGTGCATCCATAACTCGATATACGCACGCTAAGCATGAACAAATTCTTAATTTTTTTTTTTGAAAGTTCTCTGTTGACCAGTTATTAGTTTCAGTTGATCGCAGGCCCAGGTTCATTTTTTCGAGAGGATCCGGTGTGGATACATTCCTCCCTAAACGCTTCGCTTTTGGCCTTGGCTAAATCTATATATCATGTTTCAGAATAGAAAATTTTGTAAATGAGCTCCGCCCCTGAGGTATAAAAATCTCTCAAAATTTACTTGGTGTCAGTTTTCTCACTTGCAGCCAGTGCCGGGGTGAATACATCCTTCCACTGCGGGTTGTTTTCAAGTTTTGATAAAGACCTGTAAGCGATTATCAATCCACACTGCTGCTAGAAAGAGCACCTAAAAATTAGCAAACTTACCAAGTCAAAGAAGGCTTTTGAAAACTTGACATTGGTTTTTATATTAGAGTGTTTAATAACATTTAATATCAATTTCTTTAATGCAGGATTTCAATCGAGATACACCTCTATTCCGTCGAAGCCTACTTTTTCGCATGCTGGAAACGATGTGACATTTACATGGAGATATCACTTGACGCACTCAGATAGAGCTAATTTCAAGGTCGTTGTATTCGGAATATGGATGAATGGAGACATTTCAATTCCATTAGTGTCTGTTTTAAGGAATGGAAGTGCTATTTTTTATTCCAATCGTGTCTCATGGCTTGGGAACAAGACAATGGCCTCATTTAGACTACACAAAGTGTCCATTGATGATGATAGGGTGTATGGTTGTAAGCTGGATTTCGGGGCATTTGATGTACTGGATTCAGTGAGGCTTACTGTAATTGGTAAGAATTTCACCATTAATCTACCCCTGTTCATACCTTATATATATATATATATATATATATAATCCCCTCATTTGCGGAAAAATGATACACATTAAACCCCCTTGTCATTATGACAATCCTCTTTCCAAAATGAAAAAACAAAAAAGCAAAAAAACTTGATGCACATTTTGTCATACTGTTCTTAAGAATTATTCGTTAAATCTAAATCTAATCTAAATATCGTTATGTCGGCAAAATCGTTTGGGACATCACCGGTTGAGATTCTATTATTATTTATTTTGATATGATTTTATATGTTTTGATAATTTTTGATAATTTTTCTACTGATAAAAATAAAACTAAATTAGTTTGCTTTTAAAAATACAGAGGGATTGGCTGGAAACGTTATAAACTATAAAATCATGATTCCAGCTGTCTTGTGGAAACACAACACGCAAGGTCTCTTTATTTGAGGTTCTATTATAAGTTCAGTCTTATCTTAACTTTTAACAGCTGTCTTGTCCGTTTTTAGCCGCACCACAGATCAAAAAGAGCAAAAATCATCAGTTGGCACAGGTCAAAGTATCTGAAGGCCAGTCAGTTGTTATTCCTTGTAAAGTAACCGGAAATCCACCACCTTGGATCTCTTGGAGTCAAGACGGAAGAGTGCTTCAGAATAGTACTCGAAAGCATGATTTATTGATAAATTCAGCTGAGGAACACATGACAGGACTGTATCGCTGTAGGGCTGAGAACGAGGCTGGTGTTGATAAATATGACGTGCTACTGCTTGTAATATCATGTGATCATCAGTCTGGTGATGTGACATTTCATGCACAAGGTGAAGTATGTATAAAATGAATACAACTGAACCTGACTGTGTTACAATGGCTGCACTCACATCTGGGCTACTAACTATAGTTAAGACGGGGATAACTATAGTTAGCTATTTCGGTAATGTGACCTCTTCTCTGTTCGCTCCAGCTATAGTAAGAAAATTTACGCCTCGGTGATCCAAAAACAATACAGACTAACTATAGTTATACCCAAGCAGGGTTCGCGGGTTAGTCTTAAGTTAACAAACAAACAACAAATCAGAATGTGACACTTCTTTTCGCTCGTGCGAGATGAGCATATATAAATATGCAAAATAAAAACCAAGCGTGAGGCGAGGGGGAGACCAAAAACAACAGACAAAAAATGTTCACAACTGTCCTTTCAGGATATGAAAAAAAATAATGTTTAATATTTTAGATCCCATTCGAAAACAATTGATGGAACTTGGTTGAACTTATGTTGTACAAAAGTCAGTAACATATAGTTAATGATCGATCACCCAATTCTCTTGAGGTTTAGAAAAAAAAGAGAAGTTGATGGCATTGAATAGTCAGCAACTAAATATACTGTTGTTGGTAGCTATGAGTCCTTTGCCCCATCCCAGTTGCCTGAAATTTGATAATGATTGATTAAATGCAACTTGGCAGTGGATTTCGCGAGAAAAGAAAAACCGATTTGTTCATCTCATTTGTCAGCTGCATATTCTCCACTTTTGAAACGAGAGGGGAACTGGAGCCGAAACGTGTCCTCTCAGCTATTGGTCAATTTTCCCCGTCCCTGGTAACAGTCCCAGAAGGCTTGGCAAACGTTTACCCGGCCCAGTTTCCTTCACGTTTCTAAGTTCGTGAATACTCAACGCATCCTTTTCGCATCCTTGTCCCCAGAGCCTCCTGGGGGTCTGAGCATGAGGACCGGGAGGCTCCGGGGACACAGGATTTGAAGTCCTAGATTTTAGGAATTCCGGTCATTTCCGATTCAAAAGAAAGTTAAAGGATTCTCTTTTAACAGCTTTGAAGCACCTAAATTTACAGTCATTGACACTTCTGCAAGAGGAGGTGAACGCGAATAGAAACGTTGTAGAAAATCAGAAATGACCGGAAGTTCTAAAATCCAGGACTTCAAATCATGTGTCACCAGAGCCTCCCGGTCCTCTTTCTCAGGCCCCCAGGAAGCTCTGGGGACGAGAACCTACTCAACGTTGCTAGTCTACTAAAAAAAATCAGGAACTTGTACACAGACTGCGCTGAAATGGGAGCAAAAATTACTCGCTTTTAACGGCCGTTAAAGGTATTTTGACCTCAACCCTAACGGTGATTACTCGTGCTTGTCATTTTTACATTGCATGATGAAGTAGCAGAAGGTTTCCTTTCCACTGGATTTTATGAGTTGAACGAATACAGTTACTTTTAACTAAAAGAAAGTAATTCTTCTTTCTTAGAAAACAAGTCTAAAACACAGCATAACTTAGACGGCTTGTCTAAGTTTCATGCCCAGGCCACCTTAGCTTCTACTCTGGTTGTCGTCTTTGCCTTGTTTGTCATCTTCGGAGCATATTTCTTTTTCCGATATACAGGAGCTAGAAACAAGAGACCCAGGTAAGGACCACATTGAAAGAAGTACACGACTAGAACGTGAATGATTGTTTATTTTATTATTGGCAGTTTAGACACAAATTTATTGTAAAATATTCTTTTTCACTGTGTGGTTTATCAACATTGCAAGGACTATTCAACGCCATTGCTAATTTGGTGATTTCTTTTGCGGACTACTAAATAGCAAATACAGGCATCTCCCTCCTAACCCAAACCTTTCACGGTAAAACAGACACCGCCTGAAACGGACATCTCACTAGTGATGGTTCCCCCTTCCTTCAGTCTTTCCGTGAACTCTTTACAAGGAGGCCGGCACCCTGTCACAAGCTACGGTAAGACGGAGACTTTGTGCCGGTGCCAAAAGTGTCTGTATCATAGCGTTTTGACTGTTGTCGCCATCAGTATATTAGTCGTCAAAAAAGCTTTGGCCTTGGCCTACTTATTTTGCAAGGGCCTAGTCGAATTGTTTTACGTTGGATACCCGCATGCCAAAAAACAAACAAACAAACAAACACAACAATATTTATAAAACCTGTTTTGTGAAATGAAAGTCAAAAGTATCGTTACTGTTGTGATTTCGATTGGTTCGCAGGTTAGATGACGTCTTTACTCTCTTCTATCAAAATTTTTAGTGATGAACAAAACTAACAAATAGTCTACATCCCCTCTGCCATAAAAAAGAGACGAGCTGTTTTCAAGTGGATAAACTCTTCTTAAAACAATAGACTCAATAAATTTGTTACATATTTTCGTAAAAGCAAACTAAGATCATATAAACTACAATACACTGTAGGTCTTTACTGGTTAACACGAGTGGCTGTGTCTTATTTTTTGATAAATGTATGGGAGGATAAGTTGTCGTACGTTCAAAAGTAAACGCTTTCATACTTGTCTTACAGGAAATACACCAAAATGCCTCAAGATGAGCAAGCTCGGAGTTTATTGGGAGAATGGTCAAGCTTTACTGATAATGGCGCAAAAATATAGTGGAAGCTGACTACGATGTGCAAAAGAAAATAACTACATTAAGTAGCTTTAAAAGTTACTTTGTAAAGGCATGGATTATTTTTAAGAGAGATTCTTCTAGTAAAAATGGTCTGCTATAAATTGTTCCGGCTTTAGCTGAAAACAATGTTGAGGCCAGTTTACATTTATATAGTGCTATTTTCCGCGCGCCTGGCTGGATATGGCCGGTTTACAGCTGTCCACCCAAGAAGTACTACCCTGAATTCTAAAGCAACGACTTATCAGGCTTACCGTCCCAATGAAATAGGAAGACACAAATCGTTTCGGATGTCGGCTGACCGAACTCGTCACAGCGTGTTAACGCGGTAGAATGGATAATAACGGAATCAACTGCATCGCAAGTGTGGTTTATTTTGACGCTTGGAGACACTTAATTCTTATTTTGTCAAAGAGGTATTTCGACACAATTAACTGCGGCAATAATTTTCTTTATTTATAACCTACAGCATGGATGATATTCAAAACGCACCAACAGAGTCTATTCTGATTCTGTGGAGGAACGAGAAATAGCCATATCGTAGCTTCGTATTATATAGTACAAGCCATAAATATAGATGAGCGATCACATCCAACAAAAGTTTGGATGGCCTATTTTCTGAATAACACCTAGCATAATTACGTAATAGCCACCTATAATTTCATAATCGTAGCTTAAGACATCAGGGGCTCAATCAGCTCCTAAACTAATTGGTACCGCAGCTCTGCAAAGTATACATGTATATTTAACAGTGATTACAAAACGACCTTTTGTTTTCAGTGCCTTATTTCACTTGCGTATATGGTTGTGATGATATATTCTGTTATGACAGAGGCCTAGTTACTTAATGTTTGCAGACGGGAGCGATCACCATATGACGTAATACAAACTTGAAAAGACACTGAACAATACCCATACCACAACACACAAGCCAACCAACAACAGTTTCTGCAACACCAACAAACAAACGCCGAACTAGTGTTGCATTATTGATAAACCGACATTGCATCGCATGATGGCTAATGACTTGTGATTTATGTACCCTTGAATATAGGTTGTAATTAGGCCTAACGTTTATTAATCGAGATGTCTTTAATTGGAGTTCTTCTCTTCATATTCCGTTGGATTTTATATTTATCTACGTTTTACATCTAGTAAGCCTCAAGAAAGATTAGTAAAAAATGCCTGCTTACAGCGTCCTTGCATGTAACCAATGATCACGTTTATTACAAACCAAGGTATTCTATTTGTATATCGCTTTTTTAAGTCAATAAAACCAGGCAGTTGATTCCCGCACCAAAGAAAAACCATAACAATTTTCTCCTTGAAAGCTGCCGTCACATATCATGTTGTATACAATTGAATATTGAATAATCAGCTTTATTTGTTGTAATAAAATTATAACTAATCTATAGTGCTTTGGTCTTCTGTTTGAGAGATGGAGGGAAAAATAAACAAACAAACGAGAGGAAGAAGGGCAAACATGGTCAGTTAAGGAGGAAAATGAAGAAATGAGAAGGGAAAACAGAGGACAGGAGTAAGAAAAAGAGATCAGTGGAGCAGGGAGGAATGAAAAGCTACCAATAAGCACTCGGAGTACTTTTTTCATTTCAAGGGTCGAGGGGTGCTCATTCGAAGGGTGGGGGAGCGAGTGCTTTTTCCGATTTTCTAGTTTTGGCCTCACAATAACGTCTTCCAGTTGTCACAAACTGTAATAGTAAACTAGATTGTTTCTGTATCTATGTTATCACTAGTAAAGTCCTGTTTCTCTCAAATTACTTGGCTGAAATTTCTCCACACTCTATCGTGTATTCAATGCTTTGAATTGGAATGTGAGGTGAAGGGGGGTGGGGGTGGGGGTGGAGGGTGTTGTAGCCTCAAGTGGGCTTCTGTCGTGTCCAATAATGTCGGGGCGCTTATTTGAAGTTGCGCTTTCTTAAAAGAGGGGGCTAACTCGTACATTCACAGTTTTACAAAGAAGAGAAAAAAATGAAAGGTAGAAATGGGATGAACTGAGAAAGAGGGTTGAACAGTCGGTAGGGAAACGAAGGGAAAAAGACACGTAAACTATGGAGGAAAAAATATACGAACAAAAGAAAAGAGTGATGAGGAGTTCTGAAGTTGTCTGCGTGCGACGTCTCCTATTTCCTCCTATTTCCTTTGTTGCACGCGTGCAACTAATCGGTGTTAAAGACACCGATTTACGCGACGTATGACTCCTACAAAATAAGGAACTTCGTTGATTATTGTGGAATTTGTTTCAATGTCGCGATCATTTAGAAACATAGTCTCCTCAAAAGAACGGGTCTTATATAACCACAGAGATGTAAGAAAGCTTATGAAGTAATAGACAATAGGAATTGGAAAAAAAATTAAATGAAATTACAAGCAAAGGAAGCGGCGGCAATTCTGATTGCCGCTGTGGTGCCATTAGTCCGAAGCTTTCCAAAACTGACCTTGAGAGGCGTTCCCGTTTGACTCATGGACCGGGTAAACAAATTTACCACCTATTGTGTATGTATATACCAGTATTCAGTGGATTACACAATTGGTTTTCTTAACGGGTTAATACGTAACTGCTGGACAAATAAATTATCCAGAGGATAGCGCCATCCAACATTTGAACAATTGAGGCCAGATCTATTCTGTAGGAGAACAAACTTTGTAAAGGTAAATGAAAAAACAAAACAAAAACAAAAACAAAAAAAACAAACCAACAAAAAAACAACAACAAAAAAAAAACAGGGTGGCGGAAGAGACGCTTGAAATTGAAGTTTTTCCAAAAAATCCATGGCATCAAAAGCAAATCAATTTTGATTTATTTTTCTCTGTCGGAAAAGGAAATCTGATCTGAAAAAGTGCAAGTAGGATACCGTTTTCGTGCAGTTAGTACTGTGTTAGAGTCAATTGCACCAATCAGTTCGTCCGTCCATTAAAAGTAAGGTATTAACTACTTCATCTTTTTAATCTGGCCCGGTAGTTCAAACTTTGGATAGCGCGACTATCCGCCGGATAAATCACATTCAGCGGATAAGTATTAGGGAAACCAACTAGTTTATCCACCAAATAGAGATTTATACAGTGGACAGCGATATTCACCTTTTGAACAATTCGGCCTGTAAATTAGTTACAGTCGGTCAGTGGGCCGGAAAATGAGTGCTGGAAAGTTGTCTTTAAAACTTCGGTTCCTGGATATCAACTTGTACATCTTGAACCAAAAATTCTAGCTTGCAAAGTAGATACACTAGCTAATTACGTTTAAATACTCAATATTTAAATATAGTTATTATCTTACAACGCACCTAAAAACATAATTATTCAAAAACGTACTAAAAAACCCTACCTTTACTAACAAATTAGTGATCATAGCTTCCTTTCAAAGATAACTGTAAACAGGTCAGACATTTGTAAATGACTCCAATAATTACGAAGGATATTATTTTGCGGTTTGGGCGGACATCGGCTAAATTAGTTTGAATAGACCCAAAGCGAAGTAGGAGAGTTTACACGTTATGCAAAATAGGAAGATCAACATTTAACACTCTTCCAAAGTAATGCTGAAATGTCCGAAATTTACATATTTTAAAGAAATGTCATTGTAATACGTACAGTCGCCTGTGCAAAAGAAATTAGTCAATTTTCTGTAATTGCTTAGTAAACAATATTCTTTTAAACAACAATAAACTTTTTCTGTCCAATAACTTAAAGCCGTCCAAATACGTTAAGGCGAGTCAGTGGACCGCTCAACACTCCTAGAAAATAAAGCATATGGTTTACTATCTAATTATCTAATATTTTCTTTCACTCGTAACTTTCGCTCTGATTCTATTTCTTCACAGCTCTAAGCGTGGCAGGTTTCTTTTGTTTATTCATTGTAGTCAGCATAAGGGAGATGTATGACGTCAGCAAGTCGTCCATTTTGTACCCCTGAAAGAAGACGGTGACGCAAAAATTAGAAGGGCATGGAAACCACACTATAAATTAAATTCTTCGTCCACGAAAGTGGATCGTAGGTGATCATACAAAATTTAAATATTTTACAAAGACGGGTTGGTTTTAACAGGTACGGTGGGAAAAAAGCACAGCAATATCAACCCACCTACATTTACCCTGTAAATCAGGCGATCTTTCAGAGGGGAGCGCAAAAGTTGGAGAAAAAAGAGGAAGTAAGTCTTATTGCAGGGTTGACTGGATAGTCTAGGAGCGTCTGTAATTCCGTGGGAATTTTGTGAAAACAGCAAGCTATCAATAGCAAGTAGTCGATAGGAAAAAAAAAAAAAAAAAAAAAAAA